AATAAAATTTGAAATTTGTCGATAAACTTCAGTGAATTAAATATTGTACTACTTTCATTTGAATTATCTTAATTGGGAGGGGCAGGAGGCTGGGGGTTGCACTTAAAAACTAACTTTTTTTCGCAAACTTTAATTTAAATTCTGCTTGCGCAGAACTTGTCTATATAATGTCATTATAAACTCATGAGTTGTCATAAATGTGACGTCTCCATGTTGACGTCTTAAAGAGTAATAATATGATTTCAGTAAGAAGCAGTGGCGGCTGGTGGATTTTGGCACACCCATATCTCAGTTATTAGACATGGGACCTACATCAAATTTATATGCATATAAATTTGATGTGGGTCCCATGTCTAATAACTGAGATATGGGTGTGCCAAAATCCACCAGCCGCCACTGCTTCTTACTGAAATCATATTATTACTCTTTAAGACGTCAACATGGAGACGTCACATTTATGACATTTTAATGGGATTACTTTCTTCTCACCGCTGTAACTGATTGTGTTTGATATAAGAAGCGGCGAAGTAGAATTTAGAGCGTGCTCCCAGAGATAAAGAAGGTGCTCCATACCAAACGGTCTTAGACCTGAGTAAACGGCTACCCGATACTGACGAGCTCCAAAAGAGCGAAACAGGCCGTCTATCGGTGCCGGTGAAGAGCACGCTTGCATTTAAACCAAAGTGAGACGAATCCATAATGTAAACCATAATGTAAACCAGGACTTTCCATATAGGACCTATAAAACCATATAGAACCAGATACGTTTCCTTATCGGATTGAATATGGGTTCTATATGGCATTTTCAATAGGGTATTCAAAACGGGAAATTCTAAAGAAGCCTTTTTATAAGTTTATACATTAGGGCTCTTTAAAATGCTTAATTGCGAAGTCAAAGAAAAGGGTTCCTCAAGACTCTTGAGTCAAGAGTTCTCTTTTGAGAAGTCTTGATTAGTTCAATAGGTGGCGCATTCGAAGTCTTAAGAACTTCTTAAAAACCTCTTACTGATGTTGAATTTAAATAATAAAATAGAGCTTATGCAGACTTAATTAAGACATAATATTGCTGTCTGGGAAATATCTTAAATCAAATATGATCCAGTTTAAAACCTGATCGATTCTGATTAAATACGATTGACCTTAAATATTTGATTAAAACCTGATAATTGAACCTTAAAGAAATGATTGAAAGTATATCATGTTTTTATGATTAAATATGATCCAGTTGACGCATACTTTATAACATAATTGAACCTCGATCATGTTTTTATGATCGAACTTGGATATCTGATCGAAATATGATAAAAAAGCAGGAACCCACCCTTGTAGAATTTTTTATGATATTTTTGATATTGCGATTTATTCTTTTTAACTATTGACATATCTTATTTTGGCAAACAGTCCAGATTTATGCTGTAAGAAAATGTATTATATGACAAACCATTAAATAGTAAAATGTTCCCAAACTATAGTTTTTATAAGAAAATTCCACACCTGTAATTTTTAACCATTCAAAACGTGTATTTTTGATAGATCACCATGGCAACGGTTGAATTTTAGTGGAAATTTTTTCCTCGTGGGTACCCAACAGCGAATTATACTGGAAATTTTTTGACGTTTATAATGACAGAATATTTTTTTTGACAATCTGGTTTTTATTTGTTTACATGATAATTTTGATACATTTCCATTACAAAGTTTAGATGTTTTCTATATTCGTTGGACACCTCCTTTCTTCTTAATGGCGAAAATGCAGGACTTGAAATAAATTAAATGTCTATGTCTAATGAAATATATATAATATTTAGACACAATTCTATTCACCTTTTTTTCCATTTAGCACTTTGAGTTTTGAATAGTTAAGATGCAAATATTCGTGAACAATTCAAAACAAATTTTCTTTCTTCAAGTAGGAGCCACAATCCTCTGATAATGCGGGTAAATAAGTCATTGCACGATGATTGATCATTACAGCAGACAATTTCACATTTTTTTACGTCGTGCCGCTTGACAGCTTCAAAACTGAAATAACTTTTAGGTTGGGGTTGACTTAGTTGCCATGGTAACTAAATAATCAAGTCGAGGTTAAGTTAAATCAAAAAATAAATTTTAATTATTTAAACACAATTTGGTGTGGAATTTTCTTACCGAATACCACACGAGGTCAAATTAAATCCGGAAATTTTTTCTCCCTCATGAATATTTTTAGAAAATTATCCCTCGTCTTCGACTCGGGATAATTTTCAAAATATTCATGAGCTCGAAAAAATTTCCGGAAATAATTTGACCTCTAGTGGTATTACTAGTGAAAATTTGACTTTTGGGCTGTGTCAATCTCCAAATTGTATATAAATTTCAAGAAAAAAGTTAATATAGATACATACAAATTATATATTAACATACCTAATTTTGCCAGATAATAAAAATTAGACACATTTTTATATCAAATTTATCTAAACATATTTTTAATAAACTCATTGAAATTTAATATTCAAAAAAGAAAATGTTATTAGATATTAAAAAATCTACCTATTTAATATTTAAAATTAGTGTTTAGTGTGGACAAAATAAATAAAGGGCCATTCCACGCTTAATGGATAGGACAGCCGCCGTGTTTTTATTTACAAAATAATATTGTTCCACCATATTACCAATGTCAAATTTTTATAAATAGCTCTAAACAAAAGCTGTTTAACAAGGTTTTTATTTGGCAAAATTAGGTATCGTGATTGACTGTCCAATTCCTTAAAAATTAATAATTTAAAGCGTAACGGTCGGGACTTTTGCAAAGTCCCGACCGTTACGCTTTAAATTATTAGTTTTTAAGGAATTGGACAATCAATCACGATACCCAATTTTGCCAAATAAAAACCTTGTTAAACAGCTCCAGTTTAGAACCATTTATAAAAATTTGACATTGGCAATACAATAGAACAACATTATTTTGTAAATAAAAACACGGCAACTATCCCATCCGTCACGCGTGGAATGGCTGTAAATGTTTAAATTTTTTTATTTTTAAGAATTTGTTAAAAAGAGTATTTTCAGAAATATAAAAGATTTGTTTGACCTTACATTTGCTTATTTGTCATTTATTTTAAAATTCTATATTAAAATTTAAGTGCATAGGTATTTTTAGGACTGCAATCTTATTAAATAACGATAACGATGTTTATTAACGCAATACAAATTATTTTTTATTATTATTACGAAATTTATCTTCTGTAAAATATTTTGTTACTGACCATAACAATTTTTATTTATCTGAACTTGGTTCTTATAGTTTGGAGTACTATGTAACTTATATTTTTAAAATTGATAAATCTTACTATAAAATTCGGAACAATTTTAAAACAACTTACAGTTCTCTTAGAGCTTTCAATAACTCAATTACCTACGACGAACATGAAGTGCTTTATTGTTTTGGCCGCCGTCTTGGCTCTCAGCCACGGTTACTCCTTCGAAGGAAGATTCGGCTTCGCTGGTAAATATCCAGAAAGCCAAGACTTGTCCTTTGGAAACCATTACAATACTGAAGCCTTCAACTGGTTCGGTAAGCATAACCAATTTGAGCAATTCAAATGGGAAAAACCAACTGAACAAGCCATCGAATTCTACCAATACTTGATCCACCACGGACTCAGCCAACAATACGCTGTAGCCATCGTTGAAAAAGTATTCCACTTGCCAGCCACCTACTTCGTCAGAGAATACGTTCCATTCACCTACCAAACTCCAGAAGGTAAATTCAACTTCTTCGACAAATACTACTGGCAACAAAAGGGACAATACCAACAAGTCTACCAAGTCCTTGACTTCTTGAGACAACACGGAGTTATTGGACACGAAGCCTTCAACCACTTCAACCAATACTACCAACCAGAAGGTTTCTTCGGCAAACACGAAGAATACCATCCATTCTCCCACTACTATAAACAAGAACAAATGCCATTCTTCTATGGCAAACACCATAGCTACGCTCCCTTCTACAGCAACTTCTACAAACAATTCCACTACGGTAAACAAGGTTTCCAACCTTTCTATGGACAAGACATCAGCCAGTTCTACCACCAACAACAATACCAACACCAATACCCTGAATTCTACACATACCAATACTAAGAACTTTTTATTATAAGCCATATTTTTTGTTAAAAATGTTTTAGTTTTTGCAAATAAATTTGATTTTATTATAAATTTCTGTTTTATTTATTTAATGAAAACAGGTAGAATTTTTATAGGTATAAAATTGATGACAAATTAGTCAGTGCAAGTAAGATTTTAAGAGTCGACAGCAGTAGCTTTTAATTTAGTCGGCAGCCAATAAAACTCGTGGAATAAACATTTTATTATTTAACAACTTTTATTTATTCATTATTTTTCTATGGTATTTTTCAAAACGTCACAACAAATATAATGAAAATTTTTCTGTTGTAGGTATATCAATTGTTTTGGAATTGTTCTTTTAAAGAATAATTCCAAAACAATTGATATACCTACAACAGAAAAACTCCAATAATATCAGTATTATGCAATAGAAGTAGAAAAACAGTTTTAAATCGGTAATAGTTTTTATTAAACAATAGTTACAAATAAATAATTATAAACAAGTCAATAGAAAGGTAGGTACTTAAAGTTTGTAAATAATTTGACCAGTGTTTTTATTAACAATAGGTTTAGTCTTAGTTTTACTTTATAGAATACTTTGTTTATTATACATTTAGTTTTAAGTGTAGTTTGTTCCCTTCAAAATCGTCTACAAATTTTAAATTACATAACTATTTATCTAACGCTATATTATAATTTTTAAAATTTTTGATCTAACAAGTGTTCTTAATATAAATAAATCGTAATCACAACCATTTATATTGCTGAAATACTTTTTCGCGTTAATTAACAAAATCAAGCATTTTATAGTCTTTATTTAATTAAATACTCTCTTAACTATGATATATATTTTAAATATTTCTTATTTAATAGTGACTAGAATTGGGTCAAGTTTTTGGGGTAGTAATTTGAATAATTGATCACAAGTTATCACCTAATAAATAATAAAACATTTTTTAAAAGCTAAACAACAAACAAAAAATAACTTTCCCTAATCGAATCGTTGTTTGCATTTAAACAGACGTAGTAATTTGCTCTATAACTTGTACATTTCGTATGACAGGTCTTCTGTAGGAGCCATAGTAGTCCCACCTTGCCAAACCTTCAGGTACGCTTTTGCTGGGTCTCAGAATGCTTCTGGGAGGCCTGGGAGGCAACTGAGCGTACCTTATGTAGTCCGGTTGATGACTGTGAATATGTCTGTTGTGTGTATAGGCCGATTGATCTATATTTGCTGCGTAACTAAGACTTTTCGGAAGGTACTGTATGTGGTGGGGATGATGGTCAGGCTTTAGGTTCCTAAAGGAATTCCGGTGAAAACTGTTCTTATCAAAGCTATTGTAATTCGATGACGTGAATATTCTTTCGTAATGGTTGCTGCCATGGCGATAGAAATTGTACGGTGGTAAATCGTGCGTGTAGATGTTGTTGTAGGGACATGCGCAGTTGTTTAGGTTGGAGATGGTGCAGCTGTTTAGGTTGCAGTTGTTGGTTGGAGTGCTGGGTTGGTGGTCTTTTCTGGTTCCAACAAGAAACATAAGAGAAGCCCCTGTTAAAAGATAATACGTATTTTATAAATTTTAATAACATATTTTTTTATTTTAAATTGGCTGTGTAATGTTTACGCTGCATGTAACATTGTATTTTTTGTTATGTACATATGTTTATTTGTGGGTCGTTTTCAAAAAACACCCGCCTTCCGCTGTCCGTTAGTTTGAATTCCAATAACTTTGTTAAAAATTATCGGATCTTATTGATTTAACAACCAAGCGAAAGCCTAACAAGCCCTTAGTACACTCTTCCAGAAAATATTTGTTTAGTTATTTCAGAATAATTTTTTTTTAATTTTGAAACTTGTGAAACACACATTTTCGCATGTCCCATTAGCGTTTTATAAAACTTACATACATGTTTTTTTTTAAATAATAAATAACCAGAACTTTGTGTTGCTTTACAGCAATCCATAACATCCTTAGTTAATACAGTAAACAATTTATATATAAAATAATTAATTTTAATCTACTTTTTTTAAATTTGACTTATGTCCCAGATATTTTTTCCGTTGCGTTACGTCCATCGCTTACCGATAGAATATTAAAAAAAACATATATATGGCAACTTTTTTGGGACTCACGTGATCAACAAATGATGTTCGGACGTACACATTACCCAGCTGAATTTATTTATTCAATCAGGAAGATGATATCGGTTGAAAAAGGTGCGGGTAACGCGAATGTAATAATTGTTTGTCCGCTAAGTTACTCAAAAAAAATAATAAAAATAAGGTAAGAAAAAATACTATTTTTCATGTTTATGTTTATTTTAGGGCCCTAAAGCTCATTGAGAGTAATTAATGACTGTAATGTCTTATTATTATTTTTTAAATATGGTTTCACAAAACTTTTTCCACTGCGATACCGAATCCATTATGTTACCTTATGGTAACGCAATGGAATTTAGGGTAACGCAATAGAATTTTTCGACAACAAAGTGGATATTTACCGTCGCTTTTATTAAAAGTAGTTTATGATAAACCAATTTAAAATTATTTGTGATTACAACTCATGATATAGATTACATCCAAGGGAAAATTCCACGCAATATACAAGTACTAAAAGGGATCTTCACCAGCTTATAGTCAAAGAAAAAGGGTGTCTACAATTTATAAATCTAAGTTGTTATTCTGCAAGTGAGCACCACTACCAGGAATATTGTTTATGCATTACTCTAAAATCGTACCACCCTTTATAGTTTCTTTTTTACGATTCTCTGATTAAGTCCTTTATGTACTCCAGTTCGTTGTGATACCAATGTCTATTTCGTTACTTTTTTTTGTTAAAAAAAATACTTAAAATGATTTTTATACACTTGGTAATACGTGTTTATAAATTAGAGTTTAACTCACTGATACAGTGACTAAAAGAAAATATTAATGGTATTGTTTTTTTTAACAACAAATCGGAATGGTTTCTTTTAAAAAGTAACTTAACGAAAAAAAAGCATACAATTTTTAATAAAAAATAAAATAAAAAGTTGGAGAGAAAAAAGCATACAATTTTTAATAAAAAATAAAATAAAAAGTTGGAGTCAAAAGTTTGTGAACTATAGTAAATTTAAAAGTAAACTACGTACACGTCATCAATCAGCTGATCGGGCACGGTTGTCAATGTGATGCTAAAATCCTTGCATCAAGGGAAAGTGGTAGTGCAACTACAGGGCGATAGATGGCGTTTACATGAATAATATCAAAATGTCAAAAGTCTGAGTTTTTATAACCTATATGATGCACCGCCAAAAGTATGTTTTTAGCCATTTTTTAAGACATTTTCTGATATAAAACCCAAAAATTTTGCCATCCAAAGTCAGTCTCTGGTATATATATTATTATTTTATGTATCCAACATATATTTTGTTAAATATTCTAATATATAATTAATAATAATCCTATTTACCTCTCTAACAGCTGTTAAAGGTAACAAAGGTCCATTATTATCCCGTTCTGCCTCAAAATAGCGTATTAAGGATGACACCAACTCTTGACTCCGACTATTTAAATGCTTCGGCATTTTAAATATAGGAAACACAAAAAAAACGATATATAACAAACACAAAAACGGCAATGAAAACTTAAACGATATAAAATAACACAAACAACAAACAAAATAAACGAAATAATACACGAATTAAACGAAATATTCAAAAACACAACTGACAGCTTCGAAATTCTAAAACGTCAAATTCTTTTTTATGTGTCATTTAAATATGAAATATTTGAATGTAAATATGACAACATCTTAATTGTTGCCAACTGTAGATGTTTAAAATGCATTCAAATATTCAATTACAGACTTCGATTTAGTCATTTAGTGTTGGTACCAATGCGTAAAATTTTTGTTTTATTGATGACGTGTACGTAGTTTACTTTTAAATTTACTATAAGTACATTTTATTTCAAATTATTTTTATAACAACTTTTTTTATTGAATTAAATTTTGGATTTCAAATTGGTAATGGAGATATATAAAGCTGGCACATTTTTCTGAAAAAAACGTAAAAAAATGAAAAAGTGCACTGCCTGTCTTAAATGTATGTAAACAAAACTCTAAACATTTATAAAAATCCAACCAAAAGTCAATTTAAGTAAAATAAAATGTTGATCTTCATGAGGGGGCTTGATGTTGAGTTAAACATTGGTAATATTTTTTTAATATTATAGAAAACTATTTAAACATTGTAATTTTAAATAGTCGGTTTAAATTTTGTTACACAAATTATCTAAAAAATTGGACAATCTTCCTTAATAATTATTTTATTATATACATAGATTTCATACAATAAAAACAAAAATAATATAAATAAAAATATTTAAGCAGTGTTCTTGGGGGGGGTGTATACTAACCTATAATAGTGGTCACAAAACTGAAATAGTAGCCTGCTTTGGGGTAAGTCTGGTTAATGTAGCCGGTGATCGGTATACCAAGTAGAACCGGTAAAGATTTAGCACCCTGAATGAAGCTCCAGGCTTTTGTGAAGTGGCGCCCTCTGACGCGTTCCAATGCAAACATTTTCAGCGAGTAAGTGAACCCGCCCAAACAAATTCCGTACATCCACACAAAAAGAACATACCCGTGGTAGCCTTGTACAGCGCTTAAAGCCAACAGAGAAATACCTAAAAATAGAATATAGAATATAATATATTTAAGACACTTAAATCCATTTTTCCGATTTTAGATTCTTTTAAATTTCATTAAGATTAGTTTGCAGTCTTGTCTGCCTAGTATTGTTCGTCTTGAATCGTCAAAAAAAAAAACGGAAAAATTGTGGAAAAAACTGTTTTTTTTTTGTTTTTTCCTCGTGTCTTGAAAAATTTGTATTGATCGTTTTTATGTTATTTAAAAATAAATTTTTACTTAGTAAGGCCATTTATAACTTCTTGAATGTAAAAAACAATTTTTCCGTACCATGCAGAAAAAAAATTTGGAAATTGAGAAATTCGCGGAAAAATTTACTTTTGCATTTTTTTGTATTATTCGTAGTATACATACGAGGTGTGTTCAGAAAATAACGGGAATTGTTAAATTTCGCGGCTTCGGAGGATCCGGTTGTCATAAAATTTTATTTATTATGTTGGTATACATGCCCCTGAAGTATGATAAAAACTTTAGCTGTTTTCATTGTTTACTTTGTCTGTGGCAGCCGCTAAGGCTAGACGTGTTTTATGAGCTCGGCGATTTTTAGTTCGTTAAAAGAAATGGATCAAAGAATTTGTATCCAATTTTGCTTAAAAAATTAAATAAATTCTGTGAAATATTAACAGAGGCCTATAGTGAGTCTGCTATAAGTAAAACAAGAGTTTACAAGTGGTATAAGAGTTTCCAAGATGGCCGTGAAGACGTTGAAGATGACGAACGCCCCGAACGCACAAGCACGTTAACAACCGATAAAAACATGGAAAAAGTGGAAGAAATGGTTATAAACCATCAGAGAAGTCGCTGATGATGTTGGTATATCGATTGGCTCATCCCATGCAATTTTTTCAAATGTTTTGGGTATGAAACGCGTGGCAGCAAAATTTGTTCCAAAATTGTTAAATTTTGAACAAAATTTTTGGCCAAAAACAATACTGTAATGATGCCCCAGCCTCCATATTAGCCAGACATGCCTCTGTCTGACTTTTTCCTATTCCCAAAAATAAAGAGAACCTTAAAGGGCCGTCGTTTTGCAAGCATAGATGACATTAAAAGCGCATCGCTGAAAGAACTAAAGGCTATCTCAAAGATCGAGTTTTAGAAGTGTTTCGAGTATTGGAAGAAGAGCTGGCACATGTGCAAAATATCCAATAGGGACTATTTTAAAGGCGACAACATTTATGTAGACGAATAAATAAATATTTGTTTCAAAAAACGAAAATTCCCGATATTTTCTGAACACACCTCGTAGTACAAATAATATGAGAATAAATGTAAAAGTAAATTTTTCTGAAAATTCTGAAAATTGAAAAACACCTCCAATTCGTTCTACAGTTAGTACAGAAAAAGTGCAATTGTTAATTTTTGATGTTTTCCGTTTTTTTTCCGCTGGCTTAATTTTTCCAAAAAAATTATATCACCAATCGTGAGACATGTTTTATGTAAAAAAAAAACAATTTGAAAATAGCAAAATATTTAAAGCAAAACCCACCAAAAATATTTAATGCAATCCACCATTAACTTACCTATTCCTACCATGGCTGCTTGACATAAATACTGTCTCGAAATAAGGCATTGTGAACTGGGCCTTACTGTTATAAGTCCAAATCCAACGCAACCTAATGCTGAAGCAAATCCCATAAACGTTTGTAGTAGAACTAAGGCTGAATCTTCTAAACCTTCTTTATATCCTTGATAAACCTTTTTAAAATAAAATATTGTATATCAAACAATATTAAAAGTGTTAAGGAGTCATACCAAATAAAAAATAGGAGCATACATTCCCAAAGCCCCAAACGCACTGGCCATAATTAGAACCCTTAGTCCACGACTTCTTAAGGGTGTAAAATCGAACATCGGCGGTTTTTTAACTTTGGCATGCGATTTTTTCTCCTTCATCTTTTTTCTTTGATTTTTTAAATGATTTATTGCGCTTCTTTGGGGGTGGTACAAATTGGCAGATCTGTAGACTATGGGTAGAAAAAATGCTATCGCCAGTAAACCTGTAATGGATTGCAGGCCTAAGCGCCAACCCAATTTTCTAAAAAAAAAAATTAAATTTACTAAAATACTCTATTAAAAATTTTAGGGATTGCTAGCTGTTTTCATAACATAAATAAAACAGAAATGTATAATAAAATCAAATTTATTTGCAAAAACCAAAACATTTTTAACAAAAAATATGGCTTATAATAAAAGGTTTTTCTTAGTATTGGTATTGGTGGTAGAATTCTGGGTATTGGTGTTGGTATTGTTGTTGGTGGTAGAACTGGCTGTTGTATGGTCCGTAGAATTCTTGTCCGTAAAAAGGTTGGTGGACACCTTGTTTGTAGGAGAAGGGTTGGAAGCCTTGTTTACCGTAGTGGAATTGTTTGTAAAAGTTGTTGTAGAAGGGAGCGTAGCTTTGGTGTTTGCCGTAGAAGAATGGCATTTGTTCTTGTTTGTAGTAGTGGGAGAATGGTTGGTATTCTTCGTGTTTGCCAAAGAAACCTTCTGGTTGGTAGTATTGGTAGAAGTGGTTTAAGGCTTCGTTTCCAATAACTCCGTGTTGTCTCAAGAAGTCAAGGACTTGGTAGATTTGTTGGTATTGTCCCTTTTGTTGCCAGTAGTATTTGTCGAAGAAGTTGAATTTACCTTCTGGGGTTTGGTAGGTAAATGGGACGTATTCTCTGACGAAGTAGCTGGCTGGCAAGTGGAATACTTTTTCAACGATGGCTACAGCGTATTGTTGGCTGAGTCCGTGGTGGATCAAGTATTGGTAGAATTCGATGGCTTGTTCAATTGGTTTTTCCCATTTGAATTGTTCGAATTGGTTGTGCTTGCCGAACCAGTTGAATGCTTCGATGTTGTAATGGTTTCCAAAGGACAAGTCTTTGCTTTCTGGGTATTGACCAGCGAAGCCGAATCTTCCTTCGAATGAGTAACCGTGGCTGATAGCCAAGACGGCGGCCAAAACAATAAAGCACTTCATGTTCGTCGTAATTGAGTTATTGAAAGCTCTGAGAGAACTGTGATTTGTGTTAAAATTGCCCCGGACTTTATAGTAAGATTTATCAATTTATAAAATAAATATAAGATAGTACTCGTAACTGAATTTAGATAAATAAAAATTGGTCAGTAACAAAATATTTTTGAACAACAGAAGATAAATTTTGTAATAATAATAAAAATTAATTTGTATTAATTTTAATATAGGATTTTAAAATAAATGATAAATAAGCAAATATATGGTCAAACAAAAACAAATTTTTCTTAAAATTTATATACAATTTCAATATGCACATGGATACAGCTCAAAAGTTCAATTTTCTTATAAAAACTGTTTTCTGAATATTTAACTTGTGTGTGTGGTTTGTCCTATAATACATTTTCTTACAGCATTAATCTGGTCCGTTAGGGAAAAACCAGATAAGGCATTTTTGCCAAAATAAGGTAATGTCAATAAAGAATTAATCGTATTATTGCAAAAAATATCATTAAACCTAGATTTATACTGGAAATAAAAGACTTCGATGTGCTGCCCTGAAAAAATGTTATTTTTGACTTGTCTTCAATTTTTTGGTGTCGTATCTATAGATATTATCTCTAGATATTATAAAAATGTGATTTTTGACTTGTCTTCAATTTTTTGGTGTCCTATCTCTAGATATTATAACTAGTTTTGTTTTAGTATGTATGAATTATTTACTAGATTACATTATTTTAAATGGGATGCATTTTTAATATTAAATTATTGCGGGACTTACGTTACTTTTTATGTTGGCCAAATCAATTTTTATTAATTTCTAATAATAATTTTTATAACCACTCATAATAGTATATTAAAGAACTAATGTCATAAGACGTCATTTTGTCGCACGCGGACAATTTGTAATGGACGAGTGGGACAAAAGGTCTTATGACAAGAGTTCTTTATGCTATTTTATCTATTTTGCAAAAATTCCATAAAAAAAATTAATTTTATACCTTAAATTTAATTTGGTCGAATATTACTTTAGAAAGTTGGTATCACAGTCCTTGGTTTGACAGTTAATGTCAAAATCGATTCGCCATGCCGTCCTTAATTTACTTATTTAAAATAAGGGGCTGTTAATGTTAAAGAAGAAAAAAGGATTTTCTTTGGTGCTAAACAAAATTTATTGCCAGAGAAGTCTCGTAAGTACTAGAAAAATCATAAAAATATTATAACCAATATGCAAAATATTATGCTGTTTAAAGTCTAGCCAACCTATAAAATCAAAATTTTAGGTGGGATAAAGTATCTCAATACAGCACCGAAAGCGGTGTTATAATGAAGTCATTATGAACGCAAAATAGATAAATCTTTTTATAAAACCCTCAACAGGTTTTGGCGAAATCAGAGTTTTCTCAAAGCATTCAATAACATATTGGCCGCTGTCTTGAAGAAAGAATTTTATAGAACGCCGTTTTATTATTTAATTAATACTGAACAACTTTATGGTTGAATGTAGTAAATGTTTTAAGGTAATTTTAATTTTTATAATAGTCTGCTTGGTTTTAAATATACATGATGCAAAAATTAATGCACTTTACCACTTAACACTTTAACAGCAAGAACATTATTTTGACAATTCCCTTAATAAATTTATCAGATATTTAACTGAACTGCAAACATAATTTAAACAAAGAAAGTCCATAAAAATAGATGTGTAATGCAAAAAAAATCGTTATAACTTCGTTTTTGAGAAATAAAGCCCTTATTGCAATTTTTTTTAACATTTTATGTTTGCTTGTAAAAATAATGGCGTCCGGAGGCATCTCAGCCAATATTTTGAAGAATAAATATACCACGCATTGATTTTAATTTCTTTGATATTTGTTTCAGATGAAATAATTAAAAATAAAACTTTTCTTTTATCTTAATGTTTTAAACATCTTGCTTCGTTTTCGTGAAAAACAAATTTCTGTCAATTTCTTCACTTCTGAAGCAAGTGAAAAATATAGAACTCAAAATTTAGGATTAAAATAACAATAAATAATATAATAATTTTCATTATGAAGTTAAATATATTGTTATTATTATTTTGGTCGTTCTTATATTAGAAAAAATAAGATATTTTAATTTTTTTATTAAAAAATGCAACACTGTATCTTGTAAATAAAGCGTTTACAAAAAAAGTTAATGGAAGTTTTTGTTTATTTTTATTCAAGGATTTTTTTGCAATGCATTTATAATAAAACTAAAATTGAACAGGATTTAAGAAATATAAAAAGTAAAATTGATAAAAATATTTTTAAATAAAGCATCAAAATATATTATGAAATCAGATTTATTTGCAAAAAACTAAAACATTTTTGACAAAAATTATGATTTATAAATAAATTCTTCTTAGTATTGGTATTGGTGGTAGAATTCTGGGTATTGGTGTTGGTATTGTTGTTGGTGGTAGAACTGGCTGTTGTATGGTCCGTAGAATTCTTGTCCGTAAAAAGGTTGGTGGACACCTTGTTTGTAGGAGAAGGGTTGGAAGCCTTGTTTACCGTAGTGGAATTGTTTGTAGAAGTTGTTGTAAAAGGGAGCGTAGCTTTGGTGTTTGCCGTAGAAGAATGGCATTTGTTCTTGTTTGTAGTAGTGGGAGAATGGTTGGTATTCTACGTGTTTGCCAAAGAAACCTTCTGGTTGGTAGTATTGGTAGAAGTGGTTGAAGGCTTCGTGTCCAATAACTCCGTGTTGTCTCAAGAAGTCAAGGACTTGGTAGACTTGTTGGTATTGTCCCTTTTGTTGCCAGTAGTATTTGTCGAAGAAGTTGAATTTACCTTGAAGGGTTTGGTAGGTGGATGGGACGTATTCTCTGACGAAGTAGGTGGCTGGCAAGTGGAATACTTTTTCAACGATGGCTACAGCGTATTGTTGGCTGAGTCCGTGGTGGATCAAGTATTGGTAGAATTCGATGGCTTGTTCAGTTGGTTTTACCCATTTGAATTGTTCGAATTGGTTGTGCTTGCCGAACCAGTTGAAGGCTTCGGTGTTGTAATGGTTTCCAAAGGACAAGTCTTTGCTTTCTGGGTATTGACCAGCGAAGCCGAATCTTCCTTCGAAGGAGTAACCGTGGCTGAGAGCCAAGACGGCGGCCAAAACAATAAAGCACTTCATGTTCGTCGTAATTGAGTTATTGAAAGCTCTGAGAGAACTGTGATTTGTCTTAAAATTGCCCCCGACTTTATAGTAAGATTTATCAATTTATATAATAAATATAAGATAGTACTCAAAACTATACAAACTGAATTTAGATAAATAAAAATTGGTAAGTAACAAAATATTTTTGAACAACAGAAGATAAATTTTGTAATAATAATAAAAATTAATTTGTGTTGCGTTATTAAACATCGTTATTTTGTAAGATTGTATTCTAAAAAATAACCATGCATTTCAATTTTAATATAGGATTTTAAAATAAATGATAAATAAGCAAATATATGGTCAATGCACATGGATACAGCTCAAAAGTCGAATTTTCTTATAAAAATTTTTTTGGGAATATTTAACTTGTGTGTGTGGTTTGTCCTATAATACATTTTCTTACAGCATAAATCTGGTCCGTTAGGGAAAAACCAGATAAGGCGTTTTTGCCAAAATAAGATGTCAATAGTAGAATTAATCACAATATTGCAAAAAATATCATTAAAACTAGATTTATACTGGAGATAAAAGACTTCGATGTGCTGCCCTAAAAAAATGTGATTTTTAATTTTTTTGGTGTCGTATAGGTATTATAACTAGTTTTGTTTTTAGTACGTATGAATTATTTACTAGATTACATTATTTTTAATATTAAATTATTAGGCGATTTACGTTACTTTTTATGTTGGCCAAATCAATTTTTATTAATTTACAATAATAATTTTTGTAATCACTCATTTTTTTTTATAAAACCCTAAACAGGTTTTGGAGAAATCAGAGTTCTCTCAGAGCATTCAATATCTTAATCACGATCAAAATAAAGTGTTTAATTGTTTTGGCCGCTGTCTTGACTTTCAGCCAAGGTTATTCCTTCGAAGGAGAATTCGGCTTCGCTGGTC